AAAAAATCCCAACTTCCAATCTAGAGTGCGCAGATACTTGAAACTTTCCCAGTCCATTGAAGACGATTGATGCTCAAAATGTTGAAAATTTGACTTAAATCGCCTTAATCTCTTAATTTTGGCCGACTTGGTGAAGTGAGCGTAAAAATGAGCGTTTTCGTCCGAAAACACTGTTTGTTTCAAAAAATCCCAACTTGCAATCTAGAGCTCGCAGATACTTGAAACTTTCCCACTCCATAGAAGATGATTGACGCTCAAAATGCTGAAAATTTGACTCAAATCGCCTTAATCTCTGATTTTGGCCGACTTGGTGAAGTGGGCTTAAAAATGAGCRTTTTTGTCCAAAAACACTGTTTGTTTCAAAAAATCCCAAATTTCAATCTAACGCTCGCAGACACTGGAAACTTTCCTAGTCTATAGAAGAYGATTGGCGCTCAAAATGCTGAAAATTTGACTCAAATCGCCTYAATCYCTGATTTGGGCCGACTCGGTAAAGTGAGCGTAAAAATGAACGTTTTCGTCCAAAAACACTGTTTGTTTCAAAAAATCCCAACTTTCAACCTAGAGCTCGCAGACCCTTGAAACTTGCCCTGCCCATAGACGATGAGTGACGCTAAAAATGCTGAAAATTTCATTCAAATCGCCTCAATCCCTAAATTTGGCCGACTTGGTGAAGTGAGCATAAAAATGAGCGTTTTCGTTAAAAAACACTGTTTGCTTCAAAAAATCCCAACTTCCAATCTAGAGCGCACAGACACTTAAAACTTTCCCAGTCCATAGAAGATGATTGAGGCTCAAAATACTGAAAATTTGCCTCAAATCGCCTCAATCCCTGATTTTGGCCGACTTGGTGAAGTGAGCATAAAAATGAGCGTTTTYGTCCAAAAACACTGTTTGYTTMAAAAAATSCCAACTTCCAATCTAGAGCGCGCAGACACTTGAAACTTTCCCAGTCCATAGAAGATGATTGAGGCTCAAAATACTGAAAATTTGCCTCAAATCGCCTCAATCCTTGATTTTGGCTGACTTGGTGAATTGAGCATAAAAATTAGCGTTTTTGTCCAAAAACACTGTTTGTTTCAAAAAATCCCAACTTCCAATCTAAAGCACGCAGGCACTTGAAACTTTCCCAGTCCTTAGAAGACGGTTGGCGCTCAGAATACTGAAAGTTTGGCCCAAATTGGGCCAGTGGTAAGTTGGTCAAAAGGGGTCAAAGGGGGTCAAGTGGGGTTCCAACAAAAGACCCAAAAGGAGCGTTGCGTTTTATTGCATTAACGCTTTCTCCGATTTATTGGCCAAACAATGTGCCAATTGGTAAAAGCCACCCCCAATGAGCGAACAGCGTGGAACTTTTGTTGCAGATTGGTGATTCCCGACAGTTATTCCGGCTACTTTGAGTTGCTGAGCGAGGAGGGACGAGCGGTGCGATGCATCGAAAGTGTGGCCGAACTGGCGCGCCGTAAGCCTGAAGAGGGCTGTTTGGTGCGCGAAACCATCCGCGGAGTGCAGGCGAAAACTGAAGTGGATGGGGCTGTCACGCCTGAGGGTGCTCGCACCATTCCAGCCGGCGAAATCTTGGTACCGACCGGAGAGGCCATTCTACCGGGTTCCAAAGGTAGGCAACGATTTATTCCTTCATTTTTTTGTCTTAAAATGCTGGAAATCCTCCGTTATTTAAAGGGTGTCTTTATTTAAAAAAAACCCCAGACAAAAAAGTTCAAAGGCGTTAAATCGCATGATCCGGGCGGCCAATGCCGATCTCCTGTTTGTGTGTGTCTGGCTGTATGGCATGTTGCACCGTCCTGTTGAAACCACATGCTGTTGAGATCGGTATTTTACAATTTTGGCACAAAAAAGTTGGTGTCGATTTTTTCCTTTTTTTAATAAGGGCTTGTGATACGCTTCAAGGTGGACAGTTGGAAGCATCCAGAACGTGGACGAATGCAACGGCCGTCGGCGACTGAAAGATCGTTAGAAAAACAGGCGTGATGACATGGACGATTGTTCTTTTATGGGGTCAAAAGCCACGTTTTAGCACACAATTGTTCCGAGTGCGCTATTTTTACACTCTCAGT